TTCAATTCAATTTGAAAAAATCAAATCAAATTCAAATTGCTTAAATATTTGATTTGATTCGATTTTGAGGAACCCTACTTATTATTATTATCTGTTATCAGAATGGTATATAAATAAAGTAATCTTAAATAGCTTATACTATGAGAGCTACTATTCTTCATATAAATAACTATCAAATAGTTATCTTATTCTATAAACATATGATCTTTAACACATATGAAATTGGAAAATCACATATTTTTACTTCTTGATATTATATTAACCCATCCTTTTATTTCTGTACGATCAATCAAGATTACAAAAATTCTTCTTAATACCACTGATCACAGAATCAAAATGAATATAGTTTATATATATCCTATGAAATTTATTCTTAGAATTAAACTGATAAATCCTATAAATTAAATTATTATAATTTGCCTAATTAGGGATTAAATTAGGATCTATTGTAATGTAATCTATAATAAAATCTTAGTTGTTATCAACTAAGACAAAATTGTCAGATCCTAATTAGCTTCTAATTAATTTATTTAATTTCTAAAAGAAAATAAAAAGTAAAAAAAATCTAATAATAAAATTTATAAAAATATCAAATTGCAATAATATATTATTATCTAAAAAATTATCATATAACAGATAATTTAGCTGTATAATTTTCCTAGAAAATTTCCTAATTTTCTAAAGAAGATTTTGATAGACTTGTCTATTTATTTAAAGCTTTATTATAAAAAAATAAAATAAAATTTTAATTAAAAATATATTTATAAATAAAAAAATATTACATAACTTTAAATTGTCTTCATCATCAAATAATTTATTAATTTTTATACTAAATCATAAAATTTCTCATATTAATAAAATATTAATAATTGTTTTTTAATCTGATGGATTATAATTTAACTGAAGTTATTTGAGTAGTTCAATAATTAATAAGTATTTAATTAGATACTACAGTAAATTATAGTATATAAAAGCCTAATAAAAGTTGTATCAATAGTTTCTTTTTGTTCTTTACTTAATTTTGAATTTTCATAAAAATTAATCAAAGTTGTTTAATTATTCTTAACTTTATTATTTTACATATAGGATTGATAGGATTAAAAAAAATATTTTATATTTTTTTTTCATATACATAACAGTTTTACAAATTAAATAGTCTACTTTTAAATAATTAATTATATATATTTTTATTATTATAATCTTTTCAGTCAAAAGTTTAATTATAAGCTAAATATTTTGTAACATAATGTTCTTTATTTATTATATTATTATCAGATATTTCTTATAAAATGAAACCTTCTCAAATAAAAAAAAAATTTATTACTATATCACATAATCTGGATAATAATTATTATAATAAAATTTAGTTTAAAATTTAGTAAAAATTTAGGGTTATAGAACTAATTTTAGAAATTCAGAATATTTTTCAGATATCAGAAATAGTTTTAGGATTCAGTAAATATTTAGGTTACAAATCAAGTTTTGATTCATATATACTGAAATCTAAAACTTTTAGAAATGTTTTTAAAGGTTTCGATATTTATATTTATCATTAATAATTTTAGCATCATATTTAAAAGAAAATTGACTTAAAAGATTAACTTTAATTTAATAATTGAATAGAATTTCTTTTGTTTTTAAATATTTTTATCTAATTAAATTTCATTATTAAAAACTGAATTTATATTAATGAGTAATTGATACTAAAATAATAAGTATAAAGTAATATAAGAATTATTACAAATTGCATTATAAATATTTTTATAAATACTTTTTTCTTAAAATCTATATTATCTATGATACATATATTTCAAATATTAGATTTTTATTAAATATGTGAATTAGGAATCAGCTGATTTTATATAATACTTATTTTTGCATTTTCAATTTTTAAAAAGCCAAGTTCTATTCAAATTTTATTTATAATCCAATTGTTTAAAAGTCATTATTCTAAAAATTATAATATTGATTAAAGATAGAGCTATAATTAATTTTAAAATTTTTAACTAGTTGCAACTTAAATTATATATGATATATGCAAATTTTTATTTTCAAAAAAAACTAAATATTTTTATATTTATAACAAAATTTTTCATAGCTAAAAAAAATATATTCACAAAATAAGCAATGTCAATAACTATATGTAACTTTATAGCATCTTTTTTATGAAAATAATTTTAAATGAACTCAAAATATTTTTAACATACTTCAAGACTTTCTAACTTTTTAACTTCATAAATTGCATTCTTATTCTTATTAAATTGCTATATGAAAAGTTTGCTAGAAAAATGGGACTTTGAGAATTTTTTATTAAAATTTTAATTTTTATTGCATTTTAATTTTAAATAATGTTAGATTAAAATGCAATAAAAATTAAAATTTTAATAAAAAATGCTCAAAGTCCTATTTTCCTAGCAAACCTCCCATATATCAACTAATTATGCAAGTTTTTGCAAATTTTTGATTTCACCACACCTTTGAATTGATTCATTTATTATTTCTATTAATGCATACAGAATTAAATTTAAACTATTTTATCCTTCACTTCTATATTTTCACTTGCTATAGTTAATGCAAAACTAGTATCCCAACCAATACTTTCAGAATTATTATTTATACTATCTAAATCTGAAACAAGCTTTATTATAGCAACTTTAGTAAATAAACTAGTTAAATCTTCTGATATATTGACAAAGAAGTCTTCAATTTCACATGATAAACTTGAATTTATTTTTTATCATAATGAATTAAAGACAAAAAAAAATACACCAAAGATCCTTTTCAAATAAACTAAATTATGTGAAAAATTTTTTAATAAGATATAAAGAGAACGATAGATTCACTATTAGTTTATAGATTGAAATGTTACATTGCATAAATATGGGTATTACATTGGACCTGCATTTTTCAAATTTAGGCCAGAATTAAGAAAATTTGACTAGAATTAAGATTTAAAGATTATTGATTTAAATTTTACGTGATATATTTTGTGGGAAGATATCCACTGATATGTAAATATATAATTATTTCTATACTTTTGCTTAATTCCAATAATCAATAATAATCATTTATTATTATATTCGAGTCTTTATGCATGGATACGTATTATGTAATAAAATTCACAAAGATATCAGCATTTGATTCGTTTAACGCTCAGAATTTACCAATTCAATATGTAACTTGATGGATTATTAACATTCTTGCAATTGAAAGGCTTTTGCAAAGAATTGGAAATTAGGATAATTAATTTATTCCTAACGGAAATTTTAACTTAATTTTTGAATCTTACTATTATTAAATTAATAATCTATACATGAAGGAAATTTATTAAAAAAAAGTATTAGGATACTTGAGAATATAAACTATATCAAAATCGAAAGTTAACTTCATCTTCTTATAAAGTGCAATTATATAAATAATTTGGTTAAATATAAATAAATAAATGAATATTTTGATTAAACAAAAATAAGATTATAAACATGTTAAAAGTACGAAAACATCGAATAAAAAATAAATCTTACATGCTGATTTTTCGCGTCTTTTTTTTTAAAAAAAAAAGTGTTTGGATTATGAAAAAGATTGTTGAATTTCTGGATTTTCCGTGTAATTTTGACCATCTACATTATGGAAATCTATAAATATACAAATTCGTTATTTATCAAAAATGTATAAGCAAATAGCTTAAAAAAAGTCAATCTTTCCATATACCCAAAATTTCATGATACATCTTCACTTTCCAATCGTCAACAGGTAGATCTGCATCATTGAAGGACCAATCAAAAGGTTCATCTGCGATAGGCTCATCGGATTCATCATGATAATGTTCTAAATATTTATGCGCCAAAGCTTGTTCGGCAGTAATACGTTTTTTCGGGTCAAAAACTAACATCCTTTCAAGTAAATCCAATGCTACGTAATCATCCGGAAAGGGTAATCAAGTTGTAAAAACAGATCAATTGTAATATGTAATCCTCACATTTATAATGTTTATTACCTTCAGATTCGGCATTCGCAAACTTTTGTGAAAAAGGTACTTTTTCACGTTTTGGCAATGATTGTACGAAACGAAGTGTCTATATTTAAACTGTGTAAGTATTTGTGTTCCACTTGCTGGCATAATAATTCATACATAAAAAAAACTTTAAAATACATTTTCACTACAGATGGTTTGGATTACATCGTCTGGTGGAGTTCCAAGTAATTCAGTGATAATCGAAAACTGATTGACGTCTAAAAATAAGTAAAAAATAATTAAAAAACAAAAAACAAAAAACAAAAAGCAATAAACCTAATCATTTTCGTTATCCTTACGGTCTTTTCCGGGAAATAAAGGTTTCCCTTCTAACATTTCAGCGAAGATGCAACCAGCACTCCAAATATCAACTATTTCATAATCAGAAAGTATTTAAATTATTATTAAATCCTATAAAATCTATAACATAGAAATATTATATACCTGCTACATCGTACTTTTGCCAAGTGAGCATGATTTCGGGAGCTCTGTAATACCTTGTTGAAACGTATCCAGTCATTTGTGGATCTTGAAGACGGGCAAGTCCAAAATCACATATCTAAATATAGATTATTTACAAATTAATAAATACGTTATTCCTTGGATAATAAAATACTCAAATGATATTACCTTCAAGTCACAATTTTCATTAACCAAAATATTGCTTGGTTTCTTTTTTTAATAATAAAAAATTAACTTGAAATTTTGATTTAATTATAAATCAATAAACTGATACATAAGTTATAGGTACAAACCAAATCCCTATGCACAACACCAGCAGAATGGACATATTTTAACCCTCGCTATATTAAAAATTAATAAATTAACAATACATTAAATTAAAATATACAATAATTATGATTCCTTACCAATATCTGATACAAAAAGTATTGAATAAATTGTTTTTCCAATGGACGAGAAGTCAAAAGTCTGTGTAAATCTGTTCCTAGCAATTCGGTAACAAAATATCTATATTGATTTAATAAATAATAAATATTTAGTTTAATTACTAATTTCGCCAAATTTTCTCAAAAGAAAAGAAATATCGCAACCTAATTCCGAGATATAGATTAGATCTTTTAAATGGAAACTAAAGACAATTTTACATACATATCTTCTAACGGAGAAATAAAAATGTCACTTAAACTAATGATCTATTTAGATAAATTAGCATGGAGTTTAATAAACACTTGGTAAATAATAATTTTATTAAAATGGATTTGATAAAGAAAATAAAAATAGAAAACAACATTCTCATGTTTCAAATGTTTCAATAGTTTAAGTTCACGATATGTTCTTTTTGAAAGTACAGGAGTACTAAAGGGTTTCATAATCTTCTTTATTGCAACGTTTGTACCGGTAAGTTGGTCCTTTGCGGAACTAAAGTAAAAATGAGAAAATTAATACTCCAATTATACGAGATAATTTTTCGATAACATACCAAACTAAACCAAAAGCCCCCATGCCAACGGGTTGAAGATCAACATATCTATTCAAGTGAAATACTTAAATAATGACTTCTTAAATAATAAAAAAAATGCCAAAGACAAATTGTGAAAATACCTTGTTGTGACTTCAAAAACCGTTCCAAAGATCGACAATTTTATAAAATCAGCCATTAAATGAAGTTTACACTAAATAAGAAAAGTGTTATAAAACAAATAAAAGCAAACGAAAGAATTTTTCAAAGGTAAATAATATTTTATCAAATATTTATAATTAAAAGTTGCTACACAATGATGACTGATGAAGTAATGATGAGGTAATCTTAAAATAAAAAGATTTCCAAAAAAGTCAAAAGGAGGTCATAAGATATTCATCGGCATAATTATTTAATCCAAAATTTGAAAATATAAATGCTTCACGTGAAACAAAATTATTAGTAAAAATTTAACACATGTTTAGAATTTTATCCTTGGATTCTTAGATTAATAAGCAAACTCACCCTTGTTTTTATTGATTACTTTATAAAATGCATTATTAAGTTAATTATATTTACTAAAAAACAATTGTATTAAGATATAAAGAGAAAATTATATTATTAATAAAAAGAAAAAAAGCTAATTGATAATAATATATGAATCATTTTTTAGGGATAAATCTATTATCAATAATTATATAAATTAATAATAAGATATTAATAATATTATAACAAATAATTTAAATGAAATATTTCAAAAAATTCATATGATTTCTTATTTTTATTATTTTTAAATACAAATTTATTAGATTTATTATGAATTTTTTAATAATCTTATATTTTGCAAACAAAAATATTAGAAATGTTAAATAATTCTAAATAGTTCAAAAATTCTAATAAATTTACCAATTCTTGGCATTATATTTTACTTTCTTATGATAATATATTAATTAAAATATATATTAAACTTATGTAAGAATTTAGAATCTTAGTAATTTCATGAAAATAATTAATTTCAAAGTTTATATTTGTTTTAAAAATTATTTATAAAATTTATTATAACTACTTTTTATCAAAAGTTACTTATTATAAATAAACAATTAGACTTTTTTAAAACTCTTAATTTTTAAATTTGTCTATAGATTGTTTAATATCCCTTAAAAAATTCTTTAAAATAAATTTTTATATATTTTTAAAATAATATTATACTAATAAAAAAAACTTTAATTTCAGATATAAAGTATTATTTATGTGTAATTCTTATGAATTACAACTGTTAAATAAGACATTTGAGTATTGATTCTTTTTAATTACATAGATTCTATTACTTTACAAGTTCATTTTACGACCAATTTTCAAAGAGATGTTTATATAAGTATTTTATAGATAATAATTTATGGATTTACCAAATAATTATATTTCAAAATAATATGTTTATTCATAAATTAAGAAAATAAAAATAAAAGAAAATAAAAGAAATGACAAAGAAAAGAAATTAAATTAAAGAAATAAATTATTAAATTAAAATATAATATAATAGGTCTATTTGCCTTTTAAAACTACTAGAAATTAATTTGTTAAATCTTGCCTTTTAATTAATCTAAAAAGTTTACTTATTTATATAAAATATATTATATAAAAAGATAAAACTAATATACAAGGGATATAAGAGTATAATTAGAATTGATCATTCAATTAAACATAATAAAAAAGAAATTTGTGCTATTTTACCCTTGTTAAATCAAGCTATATTTATTATTTTTAATTACACATGATTTGTATTTTTAAAAATAATATAAATATTTGATATTGTAAAATATAAAAAGGTCATATAGATATATAAAATGAAGCCATAAAATTTATATAATAAAAAAATTGCCATAATAATATGTTTGAAAAAGAACTTTTTCAAAGTCAAAAAGGAGGAATTATTGTAATAAAAAAGTTAGGCTATTCTAAAAGCAGGATTTTCACAGTAGTTGGTTACTTTCATTCTTCAGTATGATATATATAAAATTGTTATGAGTTAAAAAACCTTTTAAGGAAAAATAAATCATCTAAGAATTTTTAATGATACTAAACGCAAATATTTAAAATATTCTATTATTAGAAATAAAAAACTATTACCTCTCTTAAATACATTTAAATTATGTAAACAAGTATATAAAACAGTTTTTACACAAACTATTCATAAAGAATTAGCCAAAAAAAGTTTTTATTTGTACATTTCCTATTTTAATCTATTAATTTCTAATAGTAATAAAGAAAATAGTATTTATTAACTCATATTATGAAAATAGACAGTAGAAAATTCGTTTAATTAGACAAATCTACCTATATATAATTTAGGATTTTAGGTTTTGGGTATGTATAGTGTGAACCATTTGAAGAGTTCTATAAAAATTATATTGCTACTACAGTTCAAAAAGCTTTAATTGTATATAAGGTTACTTATCTAAACTTATCTTAGATTTGGTAAAAGGTTAAACCTTTAGTTTCGCTAAATTTTTACTAAGTATTTAATATAGTTTCACATTTTTATAAGCTTTGATATAGTTTTACCTTTTTTCAAATTTCACAGATTTTTTAATAAGGTTTTAATATAATTTAACCAAGTTTTACTTTTACCATTTAGACGTCTAAACTCTTGATTTCGTCCAGCAATCTTAGTCGTATATTTTGAAAATATTTTTTCTTAAGTTAGTTAGGATCCTTTAGTTCTCTTAATTAGTTGTATTACTAGAATTTTATACTGTGAAATTTTGATTAATTATACAATTTCTACAGTTAAATCTCATATAAAAAAAAATTCATTTCAAGAAGATAATATATCAATTTACACAGCAAAGGTCATCTATTCTTTTTAAAAGTTGAGATACTTTCCTGGCTGGCTCAAAGCCTTAATATTAATCTGATAAAAAATCTTTAGTCTTATATTAAAGTTAAGATCTGCAAATGAACTTTACAGCTATCAAGTATTACAGTGAACTCATGATATAACGAATTCTAGGATCTGAATATTAACTTCGTTATAAGTTTATAATGAATTTTTTAAAGAATTTAATTGGCTAGTTCACTATAATAAGGTAATTTTAATATATTTTATTTAAAATTCATTATATCAAGGGTTCGCTATATCAAGGTTTGACTGTATATAATTAGAAATATGTATTAAAGAGAAATAAGATGTGATACTCATAAATTATTATCGCAATTTGATTAAATTAATATCATTTTAGGTTCAAACTATCCTTACAGCTAATAAAGATTTAATTAAATATTAACCTGTAATTTAATTAAATAAAAAATTTTATTATATTAGTATTTTTATAAATAATTTGCAAAAATGACTAATATTAATTATACCTCCTGTATAATATATATCTAATTTATTGTATATAACAAATATATCTAATATGTTGACTATACATAAAGTTAAAATGAATTATTTTGACTATCTAAAATATAGTTGTAGGATGAAATTATAATAGGCTAATATCAAAAGTTAAAACTAAAACTGTTGAAAGTTTAAACATTTTAATAGGATTTAGTAAATTTAAATAGGTATTGAAACATCTAAACTTAGTCAAAACTTCAGACCAATTATAATCAGTCATCTGTGTTCATTATTTCAAATAAATTTTTTTTTAGAAATTTATAATTTTTTGTAAAAAAACAAAACCTTTATTTTATTTAACTTTTATATAAATGAAAGATTACTTAAAAATCATTCAGATTATAAACTATTTATTCCATCCTAGGATTCCAGAGAGCTTTAGCAATTACATCTAGAACTTAAATATGATGTAATATTCTGTAGATTTACAATTTTGTAATATTTTAGAGTATTACGTTATAAAATTACACAAATTTATGAGTTTGTAAGATTTACGAAATATTACGATGAAATCCTACGTAGGGTTACAGGTCATATTTTTTACATATTATTATGGTCAAAATCTTACGGTATCGTAAGATTTATGAAACATTATAGTGAAATCCTACATAAGATTATGAGTCATATTTTTTACATAATATTACAATTGAAATCTTACGTAGGGTTACAGTATCGTAAGATTTATAAAATATTATAGTGAAATCCTACGTAAGATTATGGGATTGTACGAAATCTTACATAGTAATACGATTTTCTATTATAGATTTAAAATTAGTAATGCATATATTACACTATTTAATATATGTAATAAGAACATACTTTGTATCTTTTATTAATTTATATATATTTTTAGCTTTTAAGAGATGTCAATTTTAAAATATTTAATTGCATATGTTCTAATGAAATAATGTTAAATTCTTATGTTAAAAATTATAATTCAAAATTATATGCACATGTTAACATTAAATATATTTAATTCAGCATAAGTTTTAATTAAATTTCTGTATTAACAATATATAATTC